AATTTATAAAAATACAGATATAGTTTCTTGGAGTTGGTCACAGTCTATATTTTGGCTTGGATTCAGGCAGCAGAGGTTGACTATGACAGCTGGCAGGAAACTTGAGGGCAGAATACATCCTCCCCCTTCAGTCACCACATCTCAGTTGCCATAGAGATTAATCCGTAATTGAATGCTGTCTTTGTACATTTCTTTTCAGAAAACTTTAAGTAAACTTAAGTTGAAAACATGCAGTTGATTGAAAAAAGGAGGCACCACATCACAAACAGGTATAGTTGAGTTTTGTGACATACTTCCGTATGTCAAAAGAACAAATTAACTCTAATCAAAGTATTAGCAGTTCCTTCAAATACTTAAAACATTTCTTTTTGGTCTGAGCTTAAAGCTAAGAGCACAGGGTTTCCCTCCAGTCATCATATCTTTTAAAATGAGCAGTTCTCAAAAACCCAAGTATGATTTAAGGCAAAATATATTTTTATTTTGCATGTTATTTTGCATTGTCCACACTATCAAATAACAAAGGTATGATTAGAAATTTATTTTAGGAGAAATAGGTTTTAGTTTAGGACATCTATAAAATATTCTACAAGTTGAAATCAATTCATAAAAGTATAAGTTATAGAAAACATGGAAAAGATAATGTATCTCCGGCCTTTCCTAACTAAGTAGGTGAATTTGAAAAGTAGGTTCATAGTTTTTATCATTTTGATTATCAATAATTACATGGAAAAGAGTGAGAGCTCTGGAAGACCACAGGGTTTACCTAGCACTGTGGTGGCAGAGTCTTCTTTCGGCAGGTTTCCACCTAGTATACATATTCCTCTGCAACTTAGTGAAAGGCTCAGACTTGACTACAGCATTGCTCAGAAAGCACAACACCAGCATATGATGGTCACTGTTGTTCATCTGTTGGCCTCATCTAAATATATAGGATTTGATTTGTTTTCTCAGAAAGTGAGGCAGCACCTCTGAATCTGGCTATAGACACAAACATGCACTTGAACATGCCTACAAGCACACATCTTTTCAAACACAAGTAAAGTTCTTTAATAAAACTTTGATGACAGACATGAAGTACTCAGAAGAATTCTCAGTAATCAAAAAGATTCTGGATTTGAGCCCTAGATGAAAGATATTACACTGTAGGTAGAAGGTCTACAGTCCTTTGGAGACTTGAGAAGCAAAGGTTTGTAGGTGTGTGCTAATATATGACTGGATCTCTTTTGTTCTTGTTCATTTCCTTTCTCCTTTCTTTATAGCATCTTCCTCCCCATAACTATTTTTAAAATTTTTCAAAATTTTAGATTCAATTATTACAACCCATCTGCAAAGTCCTTCAGTGAGTGACATAAATATCTCCAACCCAAGTCAGTGATGTGTCAGTGATTCCTCCCCTATGAGTGTTGAAGTAATATTGCCTGGATATGATGAAATCAGTGACTGGGAACGCCTTTTTTCTCAGAAATTCTGTGAGATGACTGAAATGCTGGAATGGAATTTTACTGTTTCAAGTGCTGACTTAAAGAAGTCAACCACCGAATGAGTGTTTATGTGGACTATTCTTGGCCTTCGAGCAATGGATTAAACCTCCTACTTAGTGGCTTTAAAACTTCACTGAATGTTTCACATTCACCATGACTTCAACGTTAAACAACACATTTCTTTAAATTCCCGGAAAAAGATCTACTAAGTTGGGGTATGTGTGATTAGGGGTTACCTGGACTCGGAAGGGAGGCTACAAAGCCCAATGGGTAGATATTCAATCTGCTTGTCACAAATGTTCCTCACTCTGCAAATCACTTTTAAGGGCCAAGATTTCTGCTGATATTGTTCTGTCCCCCTCAAAAATGTTGAGATTGAAAAGTGTTAGAGGCAATGTGTATTTCTGTTTTTACAATTTCCTTAAGGAGGTTCCAAAGGGACTGTTTATTGTTTCTAGATCTAGGGTCTGCATTTTAGGGAGAATTATATGCCTATAAATTTCTTCTCTGAGAAATATTTAGATAAGCTAATGACCAACGCCTAGAAAATTATTTCATTAACATTTACTCTACAGGGATTGCCAAATTATCTGACTTTTCACATTACAATTTGTTTGGGAAAAGGGCATGTTTGAAAAAAAAAATACCCTAATCAAAAGTAAACTCTGAAGATTTTGATATACTCTACATCTTAAAAAAGCAAATTTCTGGAGAGCCTAATACATTTTTGTATTAAAATATAAAATAATTATTGTATTAAAATATAAAATAAAATATAAAAGTGTTCAACATTTCCTACAAGGTAGTCACATTGTAGAAATGCTGTCTGTAAGTGTTGTCTGTAGATCAAATGAGAATCTCAAGCAGCCCACTCAGGTCATGAATGCTTTCATGAGCTATATTCTGGCAATGGGTCTCTGTATTACTTTGAAATATGCTAAAAGACACAGTCTTTCCAATTCCATTATTACATTTATTCTAAGGCTATTGTAAGATAACCAACTCTTCCCTAGATCCTTTAGTGGTTTCCATTTAAAACCTCAGGTGACAAGCTCCCTTCAAATTAAATGCTAGGAAAAATTTTGCTCTTGCTAGAAAATTTGTTATATTTTTCCCCCTTAAGGACAAGGATCAGGGGCTGGGGATGTGGCTCAAT